AGTTTTTACATGCAATAGAGTACTACTCTGTCAGAAAGCAGGGTAAGCTTGTGACATTTTTGGTAAATGGATACAACTTGAGACCGTACTCAGACATAGGCATTTTAAGAATTGCAGCAGCATTTCTCTTGTGAAACTGAAAAGTTAAATAAAGAGCACAATTAATGATACTGGGAAGAAGAAAGAAAATATTCAAATGTAAAGGAGAACAAGGAGGGGGGAGAGAGAAAAGAAGGAGGGAAAAGAAAAAACAATGAAGGAAGAAATAGAAACAAAACTTTTGTAACTAAGGAGTGGAAGAAAGAATGAAGGGAGGGGAATGGGGGAAATTATGATATATTGTGTACAAGTACAAATCCCCTATGATAAATGTGATATATCAATGTATATTAAAATATATAATAAATGTTGGCTGGCGAGACAGCTCAGTGGACTAAGCACCTGCTTAGGCAAGCACAGAGGCCGAGGTTTGATCCCCAGCACTACATGCTTCACCGGTCCCACCCCCCAGCTCACTGAGCCAGCCACCAAGACCCAGTGTGGTGGTGCACACCTGTAATCCCAGTGCTGGGGAGGCTGAAAACATGAGGATTACTGCAAGTCCAAGCTGACAGTGAGACCCTGTACCAAATACATAAAGGAAAAGTATATTCAAAATTTTAAATATGTATCAAAAATCTGCCAATAAAGTTAAATTTATAAAAATATGTCTGGCAAAGGAATCAAGATAAAAAAACAGGCCTTGCTCCGGCATACAGTATTCCACAGGGTAGTAAATGGATTAGCACGTAAGAATTTTTAAATTATTTAGCAGCGAAACTGGGGGATTTGGACCAAACAGCTTAGCTACAAGGCATTTCCCGAAACGGTAGTTCAGTGTGACCAAGGGTGTCCCTCCGCGGTACTGCACATGCTTACCATGTGCGAGGCCCTGGATTCTGGTCCAGCACCACAAAACAAAAACAAAGACTTCACTCAGGAAACAATACAAAGGAAACTTTCCATCTTATTCAAACTTGTATAATCAGCACAAGCTCTCTACAGACTTTTCAGGGACAGGTAAGCCAAACAAATAAAAAAGAAATAGTTATCAAAATACTTTTATATTTGAGCAACAGGAAGACACAGACAGAAATTTACAATTCCTAGGAAAGGTGGCACCTGCCTCAAGCCGACTCCAGCCAACCCTCCAGTGTCAGAGACAGCTTCCGTCTGTGAGTGGCTCTTCTCAGACTTCAGCATAGGGGAAGAGCGCACTCTGGAAACAACTGCAGTTTCAGGACACAGTGATCATGACGCCATTCACAATTTCACCTGTCTGCACCATCAGGAAAAAGACCCGTGGAAAACTTGGGCTGTGACAGTATGTGAAAGGTCAAAGATTCTTAACTTTACTTACTTGGTAATTGGAATTTTACACATATATGCCAGCTTATTTATTTTACTAAGGTTTTAGCTTAATTTATGCTGCCCTCATTAAGGAGAAATTGTAAGGAGATAGATATTTTATATCTATATATCTATATCTATCTATCTATCTATCTATCTATCTATCTATCTATCTATATTGTGGTATGGGGGATTGAACTCGGGACACTGCGTTTGCCAGGCAGGCACTTATGCTACTGAGCTATCTCCCCAGCCATATATATATACATATATATATGCTGAAAAAAATCATATGATTCCCATCTGAGAAACTCAAAGTATAAATAAATTAAAGAACAAAATAAAACACAGATGACAGGAAATAGGCAGATGGAGCTTTGGCAAATAGGAAGGGCCTAAGAGACGGGGCAGAAGGGGAACTTCATGGACAGCCCCCCACAATAAACCTACTAATAGAAGTAAAATTTACTAATAAAACACGTACCAATAAAAATAAACATGTACTAATAAGCATGTACTAATAAGACTGTACTAATAAAATGGGTAGTAATAAAAACAAAATAAAATAAAGTGGCAAGAATGATGGGATAAAGGGAAGAAAATTAATGGCAATGTGTATTTTTCTATAATAAATCTTTTAAATTTAAACACATTTTGATTTGGACTGTATAAAAAAAAGGTCAGTGCATTGAGGGCACAGGTGTTCCCAGAAGAATAATAATATAACCACATTAGAGTCTAGAGGGAGTTTCTGTGTATTCCTCTCTTCTGCTTCTCAGCTGTGATCTGCATTTCCTCAAGATTCAAAGCCAGGGCCCGGCCAGATAGCTCAGCGGACTAAAGTGCCTGCTTAGGCAGAGCACATGGGCCAGGGTTTGATACCTGGGGTGTCGTGCCAGCCCCAACCCCAGGTGTGCTGAGACAGCGATTGAGACTGGGCGTGGTGTCGTACGCCTGTAATCCCAGCACTTGGGAGGCTAAAAACAGGAGGATCACTATGAGTCTGATCTATGTAGCAAGACCCTATGGACCCTGTACTAAGTATATTAAAGAAAAAAAAGATTCAAAGCCAGGAACAATCTGTTGAAAACAATATTCTTGATGTCAACTGATCCACTCAATGAGCTTGACTCCAGGCTTTTTGCCAATAAATAGGTCAAACACTCTCCTCCTAAATCAATCTTTAAAAATATACATACACACACACTATCCCCTACCTCTGGGCCCATGCTTGGGTCAGGTCCCTCAAGGCACATTCCAGAGGCCCTAGGAAGCCCCAGGCTGTCATGTGGATGGTGCCGAGCTGAGTAGCTGGCTGTTATACAGCCTCTGCTCTGAGCAAGTGACATCCAGGCGCTGCCACCACCCTCCTGGCGTGTGCCTTCCATGAGCTCCTGGCTACACTTTTGCTATGACTCTGGAGACCAGGGGAAACTCGTGTGTGTGTGTGTGTGTGTGTGTGCACGTACACATGTGTATGCCTGTGTGCGTGTGTATTTAAAAGTATTATCTTTCCTGATCTGTCACTCTACAACACTTAGCACTTCAAACTAACTTTTAGAAAAGAAAGACGCGATGTCCTTGGGTTTTGGGTTTTTTGTTTTGTCTGACTCTTGTGGTTTGGGGATCAGCTCCACAAAGAAGGATTTCAGTGACCACAGTGATTTCCAGAACAAACCCCACTCTGATGTAATGCCAGAGTAGCAAGGGACATTGCCTTCCATGAGGAAGGACATGGCAGTCTTGTTCCCTGCTTACATTCCTGTGCCTAGAACAGTATCTGGTGCATCAAGATATGCGCATCGAAATGCAGAAAAGGACACTGGTTATCTGAGCCTGTCATTTGTTGGATAAGGTGGAAGACATTCAGCGTACCTTGGTTTTTATTCCTCATAACTACGAAACCCTATGTGCTGGGATGTTATAATAACTGACTTACAAATGAAGAATACTAAGCCTAACTCGCCTCGCTCACAGGAGCAGCAGGAAGTGGCAATTCACACTCCAATCTGTCTTTCTAGTCCACCTTCTCCCACCACGTACCACATCCAACAGTGGAAGGGAATCACGGCTGACTTTGGCACTTTTATTATAAAGTTGAATACGGAGCTAGATTCAGAAAGTCCTCCACACGACAAGGACACCGGGGACTGATGAAACAGGGTAAGAATGAAAGAAGCTCAATCAGTATGTAAAAGGGCAGTGAAGTTTAAATTCTCACTTCCCTGCTATGCCACCACTAAAGCTCACTAAATCTAAACTCATCCATCTGCAAACGGCACATTGTAAGACCCATCTCTCTGAATTAAACGAAAGTACATACAGACACAATAAGGACTAATAAATGTGGGTTATAACTAAATATCATAATGTGTATTATAAATAGTAAAAGTAAATTATTAACCCAGAATTATCTTCAAACTTATATAAATTAATTTGATATTTTATTAAAAGACATGAATATTTTAATGAAAGGACCACACAATTGTTACCCAGGTGAGTGTATACCTTTTCTCTCTCTCCAGTCAACAATTCTACTAATGAAATTATAAGAGGAAATCCCTGCTAAGAGGTAGCGGACGTGGGGGCAGAAGTGAAAAGGTAAAGTTTAACATTTTCAACTCAGGTCTGACAGTGAAAGCCATGAAATACTATCAACAATGAAATAAATTACTATTCATCATCAGGGGCACCCCAAAGGTTTCTTTTCCCAGCTCCATGTAAAGATTTTCAGAAAAAAAAACTAAAAATAAAACATTTGCCTGATCCAGAAAAAATGAAGTTGTGCTTTGACTCCACGCAAAGCTGACAGTTTTAAGCTGAGCAGTTCATTCTTCTGGCATGACACAGCGCACTACACCTCTCAAGTGAGGACCAGCTAGGAAATTCCGTCACAGCGAGGTGAGGCAGTCCTAGGCACTGTGACCCGAAGGCACTGTGAAGAGCTCTGAAGTGCCCTTGGGCTGCCTCCCAACCAAAATCTGGGGTCAGCTTTCGCACTTCAGCGCTGCACTGGCGTCAGGCTTTTCTGATAAACCAAGCTGTGCTGAGCGTTCAGCCTCCTCTGGGCTTTCCCCATTCCTTCAATCAATCAGCCTCAACTAGCCCAGGAGCACATCAGACAGGCCAGAAGCGCACATTCAGATGGAGCGCTGCTCTCCACTAGTCGACAGGCTGTAGGCAATGCTCTTCAAGCAGCGGGATTTTCATCATGTCCTCTCTGCCTCTCTCCTCCCTCTCTCTCCCTCCCTCTCTCTCTCTTGCTCGCTCGCTCGCTCTCTCTCTTCTGTCTCTGTGTCTGTCTCTGTCATTCTCAGTCTGTTTCTCTCCTCTCTTCTGCCTCTCTCTGTCTCTGTCTGTCTCTATCTCTGTCTCTCTGTTTTTCTGTCTGTGTCTTTGTCTCTGTCTCTCACTCTGTCTCCATTTCTCTGTTTCTGTGTCTGTCTCTGTCTCTCACTCTATCTCTCTTTGTCTCCGTCTCTCTGTCTGTGTCTCTCTCTCCCCGCAACACACACACCCCGTCCTATGTACACACACAGAGCGGAGACCAAGGCCAACCTGCTTGTCATTTCTCCAGTATGAATGCACACCGTCGGTGAGCTGGCACCTACCTTTCCGAAATGTCAGTCTCCAGAAGATGCTCCTTGCTTGTGAAGAGTACTCAGAGCGAAGTCTCCGGTGTTGTGGTCAGCTTTGTTCTCGGGAGCAACATGTCTCATCTATGTACGTTTTGAAATTCTCTCACAGACCCACCCTGGAAAGTTGCAAGTCAAGATTTCTGAAGGCAAACTGTGACGTAAGGCAAAGCTACTGGATGCACTTTCAGGTTCTTCCTGATGGGATGTTACTTCCTGTTTCACCACTTGAGGAGGAGAAAACTGGAGTTCGGCAGACTTGAATTACAACAGCTTCTACTGCCTCACGGTTGTTGCATTCTGATGCACAGTCATTAGTCAACTGCTGAACAGGATGATCTTGCTGTTTTAAAGGAAGAGGCTTACGCACTGGCCAGAAACTTGAAATACTGCTGAAAACCCTGCACTCTGCTAGGAGCTGGTTTGACAGCTCTAAGTACTCTCTAGAGGTAAAGAATACTGGGGGGGGGGGGGTGTTTTGCTAACCAGCTCACCACGTTCACCACTACCACACCACAAAACTCATCCATTATGAGGCATAAGTCCAGGCCAGGGAGATAGCTCAGCAGACTAAGTGCCTGCTTAGCCAAGCACAGGGACCAGGGTTCAATCTCTGGCACCACATGTCATGCAGGTCCTGCCCCTGAGCCTGGGCATAGTGGCACACACCTGTAATCCCAGGGCTGGGGAAGCTGACAACAGTACGATCAGTACGAGTCCAAACCATATAGTGAGATCCTCTACCAAATACATTTAAAAATAAAGAAAAAGAGAGAGAGATACCCAATGTGATTTCTATCTTTCCCAGTAAATAAACAAACAAACAAACAAACAAGAAAAAAAACCTTTTTAAAACTATGTAACAAAGAGCTGGGGATATAGCTCAGCAGCATAAGCGTCTGCCTGGCAAGCACAAGGCCCTGAGTTCATTCCCCAATATGACTACTACTACTACTAAAACTATGTAACAAAAAATAGCCTGACATTTTTAGAAAAAATTATATGTAACTTGTTTTTATTTTGGTTTAAGTCCCAAAAATCAATCATCACTAAGAAAGACCAGTATATTATTATCAGGAAATAAACACAGCCTGCTGGAAGTGCTTCAGTTTCAAATCCCAGCAAGCCAGTGTCTACATCTTCTAGGGCAAACGTGAGGTGCTAGCCGTCTCGGGGCCGTTCTCACTTTCTCTGGCTGAAGATGAAACAGCTATGGGCTTGGGTTATTTAAAGGTGCTTGACAAGGAAGAGAGCTTCAACAAGTTGATTCATGAATCACTTGCAAACCAAGGTGCTGTGGGCGGGGCAGCAAGGCCAGCTCCTCCAACAGCCTGATTCAGAGATAGCCTTAACTTCTCTCAGCTGAGGACAGGCACTTCCCCATCAGTTCACAGACAACAGCAAAAGGGAGATGGGATGAAGGTTAAAGAAAAAAAAAAAGCACCAGTTTCAAATCCATTTAAACTCCAAGTTCCTCTTATTTCACTAAAGAATTTACTTCAAAGGAGGGCTGATAAAAGCCCTTTCACTCAACATCTGCTCATTTAATTTTTCCTAGTTGCCTTTCTCTCCACTGGTTCTTTTCTCTATTAAGGAGCCTATGAATTTAAAGTCTTTGCCTAGAAGGACAGAATTTTTCACAGCTGCTTCACCAGATGGGGAGAGTGAGCAGCCCAGCCCCGTCTTCCTGGCCAGGGGACTGCTGCCCAGCCCCAGGCTTCCTCTCAGCAGCCTTGGTCCACTTTCTTGCAGCTGCCCCTAACTTATCTTCCTAATGAGAATATTTTCTTTATTTTCATTTGTCTATCCCTTGCTGCTAAGCCTGTACCAGCTACCTTCCTGTTAAGGGACCAAGACCAAACTCCAGAGCATGACACACAGTGCGGTTGTAACCCATGGCTCCAGGACTGCATCTCCTTTTCCCCACCTGCTGCATTCCAGGCAAAACGAGTTGGAAGCCTTTGTGCCTTTGGTGTGAGCTATTCTTCAAAAAAGAAAAATAAAAAAAATGTACGGGGGATTGAATTCAAGGCCTTTGCACTAAACTACATCTCCAGCCCTTTTTATTTTGGGACAGGGTCTCACTAAGTCATTAAGTAACCCAGGCTGAGCTTGAACTTGTGATCCTGCCTCAGCCTCTCAAGAGTACTGAAATGAGCTGTTCTTTCTATTTGCACTGCTCTGAGAAAATCGGGCTCCTCTCTCAAGTTCCAACCTTCAGGTCTCCTACTGTTTAGGCCCTACCTCACAACACCTCCCGGCCTGGTGCTAGCTGTCCTATTCCTGTACTGAGGTGGGTCTTCCATGGTACCTGGCTATTCAAAGCTTGCTAAGCATCTGCCCCCATAAGCTACACTAACCCTCACCACTATAGTCCTTGAGTCACTGGGGAGAGGCAATCCCGCCTTCGATTGTAAAAATGAGCTATCATACAATCTGTGCTAGGGACAGGAAGGCCAGCAATCTGGAGTTTGCTGGCAAGGCCTCTGTGGGAGCTGAGATCGACATGAGCTGAGCACAGAGACAGCTCCAGGCCAAGGAGGTGACAGCAAACTCCAAACACTAGTGTCCTTCCAAACACTAGTAGTTCTTTTCTTCTCTTTCAGTCTTGTGCCCTATAATACATTTATCAGTGCATAGCTAAGCAAGAGGAGAGAACTTCCAGAGTGACTAATGAAGGAGCAAACACCATGAGGAGGTGTCACTTTCTTCTAGAAAACACTTAACTGTCTCATTTTATGAGCTAACTATCAGGATTACATCTTAAGTCCTTGCTAATAGGTACTAAATCATTAAATCAATTCAAGAATGTTAACAATTCACTGCACTGCAGAAAGTAAATGACGTATCTCTGACAAATGAAATTTGGACAATTAAGAATGATATTAAGTGCAGGAGGAGGGACATGTACACAGAGCAAGCTTGTCAGTAAAGGTTGTAAAAGTGAGTTCGTGCGTATAGTACCCACCTCCCCAGTGCCCTTTACCCAGGAAAGTAAGGGAGGGGGTAAGAGAGAAGTAGGGGAGGTGGTAAGTGAGGGCCAGAGGCAAACCTAATCAAGGGCTCTAGAAGGCCACTTAGTCACTTGGAAGGGAAAATCAGTGAGCAAATTACAGGAACATGGACTTTGGGCACCATCAGGAAAAGAACCAGGTATTATGCCAAAAGCTCCATTATACAAGAGCAAAGGGAGCACAGCTGCATGGAGCAACGCAATTTCTGATAGTCTAACCTGCATGCAGTGCTTTGAACCAATCCTTAATCAAATTTCATTTTGTAATCCTGGGTATTGAATGCAGGGCTAAGCTACATCATAAAAGGGCTGATGAGCCTTTTCCCCATGGACTAAGTTGCCTAGCTTGGTCTCAAACTTATGACACCCTGCCCCAGCCCTCCACGTATCTGGGATTATAGGCATGTGCTCCACACCAGTGCTTTCTCAACAGAAGACAATCCCTTTCAAGGAACTTAATGAACACAGTCTTGGTCATACTGTTCTTAACCTAGCCTGGCACATTTTCTTTGCTTTTACTGTCAACAAACTTTTTTTCCTTCTAACATTCAATTTTATCTTTTAGACTTCTCAAATGTTAAAGTCTGTTCATAGACAGGAATTTTAAATTGAAATGCTATTCAACCATGTATTCTTCAATAGCTTTGTGGGAAAAATTCCTAAGAGATAAAATGAAACAAGTTTAAGTCTTCACAAATACTTGCCCACTACATTCAAAGCTTTTGATAACTTTAAATCCCCAGATCAAGCCAGATGTGGTACATACCTGAAATCCCAGCTATGGGGGAGCCAGGAAAACTGCAATTTTTTTTTTTTTTTTTTTTTTTTTTTTTTTGGTGGAACCAGGGATTGAACTCAGGCCCTTGTGCTTGCCAGGGAAGCACTTATTCCACTGAGCCATCTCCCTGGCCCCAAAAACTACAAATTTAAGCCTACCTTAGAATACACAGTAAAACGCCATCTCAAAACAAACAAATCTTTTTAAAATACCTGGATCAAGACCTGAACCAATTGAATGTTAAGACTACATCTCCTTGACATAAATACCACCATCTTCCACAAGGATTCTCCCAAATCCCCAGGTGGATCACAGGAGCCGAATTTCCTCTCTCCTCCTCCCACTCTACCCAGCTGCCGCGCTTACCCTGGCCTAGTTTTGAAAGGCTGCCTGGTGGCTAATTTGCAAGGCCACTTTGTGAAAAAGTAAGAAAACTAAAGAGGAGATCACCCCGAGTTAAATGATCAAATGGGCATCACACATTGGGTCCCTTAGGTCCCCTCCCTCCCCTGAAACTTTGATTCCCTCTCCTGTTTTATCTTTTTCCACCTTATCTCCTTCTAAGTTCATTTTATTATTTGTTTACTGTCTGTCTGTCCCCCAAGTAAGCTGCACAAAGGTCAGAATTTCTAGCCTATTCAGCACGGAACCATTCCTGGAGCTAGGTCAGCTCTCAGTGTCAGCAGAGCATACGTATGTACCTATGCATAAATGAGCGCATTGGGGCCGGGGAGGATGGCTCAGTGGAATAAGCGCTTCCCTGGCAAGTGCAAGGGCCTGAGTTCAATCCCTGGTTCCACAAAAAATAAATAAATAAATAAAAAATAAATGAGCCCATCTCTCCCTCTCTACCACAATAGCTAGTTATTTTTTCAAGTGTCTGTTGGGCTCGTTTAAAACCTGAAGAGAGTGCTGTGTGTCACGGCAGTGGCCAGTTTGTTTGTTCTGTTTGAGACAAGGTCTCATGCTGTGTGCTGTAGGCTGGCTTCAAACTCACACTCCTGCCCTGGCCTCCCAAGTGCTGGGATCGTAGGCTTCAGCCACTACACCTTGAAAAGGTGGCCAGGTCTACTTCAAGCTCCCCGGGAGGGGGAAGATTACTCCTTGGAAAACTGAAGTCTGTCTTTTATTGAGAAGTGGACACAGAGAGCTCTTACAGAGTCAATCTGGCACACCTTCTGGGAGCGTGCAGTGCTGCTCCACACAAGGTAGACCACCTGCCACGTGAGGAGGACTTCCACACAGCTGTCTCCCAAAGGCCAGCCAGCCTACCACCTGCACGGAGAGCTGCCAGATGGTATTGGCCATGTGCACAGACAGCTGTTAGCACAGGTGTGGCTCTCAGTGACAGTGACAGATTGCCTTGCTT